TATGTATGTATGTATGTAATGTATATTAGTTATGACTGATATATCTATCATGTCGGTGTAAGATTGTAGTTTGCAGGTCCGTGCGGATGATTGTCGACCTTATCTCTGGCGATTCCGAGCTGCCGATAACATAAACGGCAAGAGCATAGTCACGATTCAGCATGCTGTTGTGCTTCTGCCTACTGTTTATGTATGGTCTAAGGGACATGGTCATGCTGTCATTCATGCGTCCGAAGCACCAACAGCGAAAGATAAATTTGCGCAGTAATTTCTGCCGGCTTCCTTGGGCACCACCTCGTCTCCGGTCTCGTGGTTCACCACAGTGGGCTGCTTCTGAGTGAAGGTTTCCACCTGTGACAGTATGCGATGTGCTCTTCCTTCGCCTCGACCCCGAAACCTCAAGAGCCGAACAAACAAAAAAACCAAGGCAGCCTCAACCGATCCAGACCCCTCAGGTTCCCAGTGTCGAGCAGAGCACCCCAGAGGCGCCTGCTTCAGGGATCCGGTGAAGTTCACTTCGTAGCGATCTGGGAAGGACACCTGGCGGCTTGGATGCCGGGTCATGAGTGCTGAGTGCCTGTGGCTTGCAAACGGCAAGCAGTTGGGCTGCATGAATTCTTCCGAAATCTCTACAGACGCCAAGGAGGCGCAGGTAGAATGCTAGTCTCTAGGACATGTCCACTCCAACCGGTTTGCGGCATCCATGACAGCATATCAGCAATGCCCTGTGCCTCAACGCTCAATGCCGCGATCGGGACATCCACTCCTACGGGCACACCAAGAACAGCGGTATACACTTCGGCTCCAGTTACGTAGCTGCAACAGAGTCTGATTCCCGACCCCGAAGAAACCCGAGCGCGAACTGTCGAGAAGGCCCCACTGCAAACCCTACACCCTTGATCCTCCACGCCAACCCTGCACCCTAATATTTTTTAGCCTTAAAACCCCTGTTGCCCTCTCCCTAAATCATAAGGGCACTGCAGAATGCCGGAACCTACTTGAAGGATCATGACGTAGTACCTCGGTTCATAGGTAAGGCAACTATAGCTTCAATTTCTTGTAACCCGAATTCAAGCACTCGTAATAGCCTTTCTACTTATATACGTCCCTCATCCTCCCAGTACACGAACCCTGTCTGCAAGGCGCACTTGGTGGGTCCAAGCGTAGGGTGCCGTTTGCTGCCAAAGGCGGGATGGAGCTGAGCCAAGAGACCTCTTCTCAGGTTCAAGTTTTGGCATCTCAGGCTGAGGTGCTGAATGGGTAAAGAGTTGTTGGGCCGTGAAGTCGACATTGCAGGAAAGGAAGGTTCAGGCGTCCCAACACAACCATGGTAGTTGGTCTTGAAACACCGAAGAGCCTCGCAGTATTCCCAAACAGACCTCCAAACACTTCCAACCTTCAGCCGGAAGTCAACCCTAAACCCTAAACCTTAGACGCCCTGAGTCCTGCACCCGAATCTCCGAAACCCCGTG